GCACACCCACACCGCAAGAACAAACAAACCCAGACATGTGCAAAAACAATGTGTGTGTAAGGACATGAAGGAAGAACTCTATTTCTCCTCTTTGTAAAGTATTATTCAGAAAGCAGGTAAAGAAAACAGCAACAACAAAAAAAAAAAAAAAAGCAAGTTGTGTAAGACAAAAAGAACAGTGGTGGGCGGAGTGGGTGTTAAATGGCAAGAGTGGGGAAGGGATGAATGAAGAGAGGAGGCAAAGAGCGGCTCAAAGCAGAGACGGAGTGAGGATCAGTTGGGAGAAAATGAAACCATTTGAGGTAAAGATAGATGGTCGCAAAGAAGGAGAGAAATGGAGTGTGAGATGGAAGAAAAGAGATGGATGCAGAGGGAGAAAGCATAGGAGGAAGAGAAGGAGGAGGAAGTTAAATTAGATGAAGGAAGAAGATGTGGGGAAAGAGTGTAGTGAAGTGTAGTGGAGAGGAGAGAGGAGTGGGATGAGAGATGAGAAACAGGAAGCTGTGACCTCACATTCTCAACTGCAATAACGCTTTGAAGATCATCTCAAGGTTGCTAGATAAGAGGGGACCCATTCAGACCAAAGGAGAGGCAGGTAGGGGGCAGTGCAGCAAAGGTGGGTGGTTGTTGGGGGGAGGGAGAGAGGTTGATAGTGAGCGGACAAGCAGAGAAATAAAAAGCAGGAGAGAAGCAGGTGAATAGGAGCAATGAAGACCATGAAGAAAATTATTCAAGATGCCAATAGGTATACATTAAGCACGTCTGATCGTGCGAGTGTGTGTGTGTATGGAAAGCCATGCAGCATATGCATCACTTGTTGGGAGATATGTGAGACTGTGCAGGTTTGTTTACCTGTGTGTCCGTCTATGTGTTTAATTTAGCATTTTTCACTTTTCACAACAAATACAAACGTTGCAACGACCCACTTCACCTCATACGGCCCAAACCCCGGGGCCCATAAAGTGCAGTGCTGTTTTAGGGTTGGGGGTGAGCTTTAGGACTAAAGTGTGAATTGAGTTTAGGTTAGCTTCAGGACTAAGGTCAGGGTTAGGGTACTGAAATGAATGGAAGTCAATACAATGTGAAGCTAGGATGCATATGTCTGTGTGTGTGTGTGTGTGTGTGGGGTGTGTGTGTGTGTGTGTGTGTGTGTGGGTGTGTGTGTGTGTGGGGGTGTGTGTGTGTGTGTGGTGTGTGTGTGTGTGTGTCGGGGTGTGTGTGTGTACGTAAGTGCGCAGTTTGGCAGAAGTGATAAAATGCTGGGAGCCTGCCAGCCAATAAACAACCAGGCCGGCTGTGTTCCATTCCTTAATGAGTTACTCTTATCAGTTACCCCACGCTCCTCTCCTCCTTACATGGATCCTTTATTTATTCTCTATTACATTATCTTCTTCACTCTTTCTCCTGCATGTGTCCTATTATCCTTCGTCTTGCATCCTGCGCAGAGCCTGCGCTTCTTACTCTTTTGATATTTTCTGGTTCAGCAGCTGCTATTTTCTTTATCTTGCTGCTCTGCTCGTGCATACACATCTCCTTCAAATAATAAAAAATATCACAAGAAAATGAGTTTATCGCATTACAAATTGTGAAATGTGACAAAAAGAACATATAATTAATTTAAACGTAAAATTTGATATGTAATCGTCTTGCATTGGACTGCTTTTGATCATATTCCATATTATAACAGTGTTTGGGTATGTTTGACAGCTGCTTAACTGCCCTAAACAGGACAGCTCTGCAGGGACAGCTGAGACTGTAATTACTTTTGGATGTACTGCCATGATATTTTGCTCAGAAAATCATGTTCGCTTGAGAAAGGTTAATGAGTCTGGTGATCTTTTGTCTCAAGACCAAATTGTTGCAAAATTAACATCTGCTTCAGCTGTAATTTCCCTAAGTAATTGTAAGCCAGTTAACACATTGATTCTATTATTTAACTCAAAACGTCACTGGGTGTAAAACACAGCTGCACAGAGAGAACTGTTCCCAAGTATTCTTTTTTTATTGATTTTTCTCTCAATGTGGACCATGTATAGTTTAAATTTAGATAAACCCAATTTATACATACTTTGTTTTATTAATGCATCATTTATATACAGATTAGTGAGTTAAATATTTGGATATATGGGAGTGTTGAAGACTATTTCCTGCACCCCAACTCCACATCTGGCATTTAAAAACAATCTGTAGCAAACACAGCACAGAACAGGAGTTTCAGTCTGGTGATAAAACTGACTGTTGGTAAGGGTCAAATGTACATTTAATCCCTTTCCACTCTTTGTTAAACTGCTGTCATACTTTCCCATCATGCCTTTCTAACATAATAAAAAACATATAATGTGGACAGATTTTGCAAACAGCAAGTCCTGTCACATTTTGATATATATGTGATGCTGTTTGGAATAGTATGTTTATACAAAGGTAAAGATGTTAGTCTTTTCAGAATGTACTACTTTAAACCCTTTCAGAATTTTGAGTAGTACTAATGACTCAAAGGCAAGACTGCATCTGCAAGTTGTTGCAGGAAGACAATGGTCTATTAAAAAGAGAGGAAAAAAAAACATTTTTGAGTTACTTTGCAACAAAACAAACATCACCACAATTGTCAGGAACATTTTTGATGTAGATGATTGTGGCGAGCCAAATTAGAGTTGCAAACAACATTGTTTCAATAGCGATGAAATAGTGGTGGTAATTACTACACAGGTTTATTTTGACTATTGGTTTAAACTCACTTTTAATCTTTCAACTGAAAATAATTCTAAAAAGGACATATTTTTTTCATAACCTTCTCAATTAAATCTGCCAAAATACATGTGGAATGAGGAAATATTTGAAAATTTATAAAATATTCACATCTAAAACACTTTTCTAATAGACCTATAGCACAAAATGAGTCTATTTAGAGGTTGAAATTTAAACCTTCAGCAGTAGAAACTCCATCGGGGAATTGAGTTTGTTTTCTCTCTGTCTCTCTCTCTCTCTACTACAAGTCTGAACAGATTTATCACTTTCTATGAATATAAAATGTCCATTTATCGAGGTAGGAGTGAAATCCTAGACAATCTGCTTTTATGTTAAGAAAGGACCACCCAACTCACCCACCCACCAGCAATACCATTTTCCTCATGGATCACAATTTAGCTCTGATTAATTAATCTCTGTAGCAAATCTCAGGCTTGATCACTTGACAACCACCCTGACAATATGGAGAAAATAAAAACCTCAAAAAGTAACACATCATTAAAAGGAATTAAACAACATATGGAAAAACAAAGCCCTTGACATCTATTAGTCTGGAAAGGCTTAAAAAGTCACTTGGAACAACAGCAACCTTTGTGAGGTCCACTATCTACAAATGGAGAAAACTCCTAAGAAACATCTAAACAGATAAACTAACAAAAGTGCTTCTGTTTCTAATTGACCTTTGATTTGGCTGCTGTGGAGGTAATAGATGCCAAGATATACAAAGCAAGAGTGTTTTCAGTACTGAACCGTTCCTAACAGGCTTTGACATTAAGCAAAGGAACACCTGGTCATGGATTCAACTCATGCATTCTGACATGGTGCCTTCCACAAATCAAATTAAGTGGAGTTAATGGGATTAGAGGAGGGACACAATGTTGGAGACATCAATCTGGTCTGGAAGTCAGCCATGAGTTTAGTTTGTTGACATCTAACAAGGTCTGCTTGGCCAGCTGACAGTTGGTGATGGTTCATTATGATTTACATTTATGTCTACTAATTGCCTCTGCAGTAGTGACTTCAGTCAGATGCAATTCAATGCTATCCAATCTCAGGTAGAGGTTTACATTATATTTCACTTTAATCATTGACACATTTTCAGTATGTACAGTATTGCAAAGAACTGAGGTCAGCCTATATATGTGAAGAGCTGTGCTTTCAAACTAGTTTGCTCTACATATTTGGTCAGTTGCATTTATTCTGACCATCTTTCTACAATCTTAACAGTAAAGTACAGAAAATAGTGAAGCACCTGTATTAATGGATTCAGCGCCTCCTAGTTAAGTTTTTACACCTGTTCACCATTTGTTGTACCATTGCTGTGCATTTGCACCTGTTGGCCACAGTAGTTAACTATGTTTAAGCAGCATGCTGATGCTGACCTGCAGGGGTTTTATTTGTAAATAAATATCTAAGAAACACAAATAGAACAGACCTCTGTGCCCTAGATATCATTAATTACCAAGTGCAATGCCTATAAAAAGCAGATGTTATGTCAATGCGTAGTTAAGCTCGTACAAAAGCAAAGCTTATATGTGTAGTATTGATTTTTTTCATTTTAAAGAAGTGGAAGCAACATAAAGCTAAATGTAAACAGATCAGAATTTATATAACAGTAGATGTTATCTGACATAAATAGTTGTGTAATAAACATACTGCAGTCATTTCATAGCATCAAAAGATGAGCAGACCTTCCCTTTAAAACACATAAAAAATTCCCAAGCTGGGGAGAATCTTTTCACTGTTACAAATATAATGATTGTGTATGAAATGTAAACTTCTGATAAATATTTAAATATGTTTATTCAGAATGTGGGATTGAACTAAATAAATAGTCTGCTTCTAGATTTGCTGATGACATCAATGAATTTATGTTTATGAAAATATTCAATTAGTTTTTCAATCTTATTCTGAATTCTATTATGTTGGACAGAATAGTTTTGTTCTGCTTTTAATTTTTGTCTAAACAATGTCTATTTTTGTGGATTTAGATGTGAATTTCATTTTGTTATGGAATCCACAAAATCTACAGTTCAATGTTCATCCATAAAAAACACATCACCATAAGCTTCTTGTTACATTGCTCATAAGTTATTGATCTGCTACTTGCATATATAATCGGAAGATTTTCTAATTGCTATAAATAAAAGAACCATCAAGTTACAGAAAGAAAATACCCACAATAATTTTTTTTTAAGTAAGCAAATATCTAATTTAAACAGTGCCATACATATTAAAACAGGGACAGCAAAATGTAAAATGCACAAAAATTGTAAAATACTGATATTTTTATTTTTCAAAAATGCAGCAGAAATGTTTTAGGCTAGTCACACGCCATCCGTCCGCTGAGACGGCAAACCCATTAGAAGAAACAAATATTCATCCAAACATCCTTTAAATATGATTTTTCTATCATTTTGTAAAAGTTCTTTGTTTGCCACAAAGTTTTCAGCAATTTCAAATTTTTCACATATTCGGTTAACAAGTGACTAAAAAAAACTCTGAGGAAAACTAATGAGGAAGTTACTTAGAATGAGCAGAGATTATATAGGTGACAAAGCTGCTTGTGGTCACACATGTTGAGGCTGGGAAGGAGAAGGGATGGACGGACTGAACTAAAGTTGGATGACGTAAAAGGGCTGGGAAACAAATGCAGGATAATACATAAATGCTGCAAAACCTTAGCTCGGGCACTTGGTTGAGTTACTGGATTTGAAATCATTACGGGTCCTATTATCATTTTGGTTAACTGGAGCACAGCAAAAGGCTTATATGTGGTCTCCATGGGAGCTCTTTAAGTTAAATACTTTACTTATGCATGAAAATTGTTTGTAATGGATTTGATAAATGCTTGATCTCTATTGCTAATGACAAAGACCAGTAACAACCATGGCCCTCCTACACTCACAGTGAAGTCAACAACAAAAAAAACTCAGTAATGTCATTATGTCCACAAGATGACGGTCAGAATTTCAGAGATAGATTTGTTTTAATTCAACATTTTTAATTAAAAAAATGATCCTGTTTGAGTCTATTAAGGCTTAGGAAGCAGCATGTTTGGAGCCTTGTTTTTCTATAGTGTTGCGTTGCTCTCATTATAACCCAAAGCTACTTTATCTTCACCTCATTAATCAAAGCTTGCTCCAAACCAAGGTCATGGAAAGTAAACCTAACTTCAAGCTGTAAAAAATTGATTTTAGGGAAGTTTTTTTTAATCAGGGCCAGGATTTTTTTTGTCAGCAGAAGGTAGTTTAATCAAGGGAACAACTTGGAAAAACAGCGGCTCTTCGTGAAGTATAAATTTCAAGGGCACAGTGCCTTTCAGAAGTATCTGTACATTTTTATGTTAAAACCACAACGTTTAAAATACTTTACTATAACATAACACAAAGTTGTTCAAAATTGTAAAATGGAAGACATTTTATGAATTAATTATTTTTTTTCTTTCAAGGAACAACTGCAGATCCACATTTACTTTTGTACCTCCAAATAAAATCTAGAGTGCAAACTTCATCTAAACCAACAGCAAAACAGCATTGATCTGAGAAGCAGCCAATGGTAATATGTAAACTGATATGTAATATGTAATTGCATCAAATCATATCAATGTGATAAAACGACCCAGTCAAAGCCCAGATGTAAATCCAAGTGAGAATCCATGGGCTTAAAACCTGATGGTTACAAATGGTTCATCAAATTTAAGCTGTTTTGTATAGAAATATGGACAAAAACAATTACATAAAACAACAAAAGGTTTCCATTTGTGCTAAGCTTTTACAGCTGTAAATTCCTCAAAAGTTGTCAAAAGTCCACACTTCCACTTTCCAATGATGTACTACCCTGTAAAATGTCATTAAAATATTTTTTTTAAAAGTTTGTGGTTGTAACAAAAAAAAAGTGAAGACGTTTCATAGATTTAATTACCTTTTAAAGATCTTATACAAGAAATAATGCCTCATTGAGTTTTTTAGACATCCCACAAAATGCTGGGCCCCTTTAATCATCACCATCTGTCTGTCTTTCAAAAACCTCATTATGAGTTGGGGTTCAGAAAAGAAAATCATGTAAGAACAATCAGGGACAACAGGATAAAGGGTCAAAGGGTTAATGTTTTTTTTTTTTGTTTGTTTGTTTTTTTGGCTGGTGCTTAATCATCAAACCAATATTGCATTATTTACACAGTACCAGCTCATTGATCAATGTTGAAATAAAAAAGTGGCAGGATGATGTGTAAATATTATATAGTTCAGCTGCTGAACAAGTATCTATATGGTCACATAGGTAAAAAATAAAATAAAATTTCTAAAATGATTCTGCATAGCAAATGTAGCTTTTATATCAACGTACTGTGTAAATATCACAGCAGGTGAGATGGAAAGACAACCAGCCTTGCTTTAGGACATCTATACAATAATATATTAATATCTGAAATGAAAGCAATAATATGGTTAAATAAGTCATGTTTTAATGCAAGTAGCAGTTAAATGCTATAAATCATAATATATCTGTATCTTTCCATTCTATTTACAAGAGTTTGACACATAGCTGGTTAGAGTGACTCCTCAGGGAGTCTGGCAACGCTTCACAGGCCCGTTCTTCATCTGAATCTAACCTCTGTCTTTTGGCATACTTTCCATGTTGTTTTTTATATCGCTATCCTCTTTCCTTCCTGTCAAATCTCACTCAATAAAATCTTTATCTCCCTTACTTTTTTCCCTTCAACTTGTCTTCTAAATCTTTTTTTTTTTTTTTGCAATCGTCCCTTGCTTTTTTTTTTCTTTTCTTTCCATCTTAGCTTAGTTGGATCCTTGGCAGATAGGGCCTTTGATCTATTTTAATGGAAAAAAATGCTACATTCACATTTTAACAGGTTGTTCAAGTTGACATCAGCAGTCTGTGTGTGGTACTTCTCGACTCATTTCTAAATCTGCGTCTGCTCTCCTCACTCCCAGGACAGTCACTCGGGCGTGGTAGTAGAGAACCAGAACTGACCCACGCACCCTTTATCTTCTTCCTCAGGTGTAGAAAAAGCTGATTTAAAATCCAGAGCAGGTCTTGACATACTGGGTTGCACAGAGTTGTGTCTCTGGGGAACCCAGTTTAACTGCAGTTTCCCAACGTGCAACACACACACACACACGTCTGCCTTCTCATTCTGAAAGAGGTCTCTCTGTGGTTCAATTTGTAACAATCCTGCAGGGTAATTATTAGAGGTATTTCAGTCTGTTTATGCATGTGTGTGAATATGCATGTGTGCTTGTGTGGATTGTGAGCTGTAGATCTGTGTGTTTGTCAGTGTCTGGCTGCGGTTATACACGTGTGGTGGAGTGTGTGTGTGTGGAGATGTGTGTGTGGGGTAAGTGTGTATTACTATACGGGCTATGGTGTGTGTATCCCTGGTGAGGGTGGCCCATCCTCATCCCAGCCACCGATCCTGGTGTCATTGGGGTCATTGGTGTTGCAGGAGTAACAGGGTGTGACCCCGGGGTCACGGGCAGCGAGCCCGGGGTCAAGGAGGTCATGAGGGGAACGTCATCTGGAGAGCGGCGCAAGGTTAGGGTATAATCAGGTGGACAGGTGAGTCGCACAGTGTCCAGTGTGCTGTAAATGTCCTGGGTGTCCAAACCGTCCAGGGCATCAAGCGTGTCCAAAGTATGATGGTGGTGGGCGTTGTTTCTCTCGTCCGCTGACGCGACATCACACTCCAGCTGCTTCACCTGAAACATGAATAGCAGGAAAGTAAGCACAAGGAAGATAAAGAAAAGAGAAAAAAAATTTGAGATTTTTTACACCATTTTCAGTAATAAACGCAGATTCAGTCAGTGTACAGTACTGACGGAAATATATTTGGGCTTTTGATGACTGAATAATGGTTCAACTTCAATGAAGCTCAAAAATAAAATTCATTTGCTCACGTTTTATATTAATGCAGATTTTTTTAATATGAACAGTATTTATTTTTATTTATGTTTAGTTATTAATCAGAAAATAAAACATTTCCTGGCGGGAGGCATCAGTAAAAATATAATGAGAGGGCTGCTATGTATCATCTTGGCAAACCATATAATGGTTAGTTAACCATTAAATTTTTTTATCCAAACACCAAAACACTAAATTGGATCAAATTAAAAATATATATTTTCCCCTAAAAGACTTTAATTCAAAGTAGATTTCTGAAATGGTAAATATGATAATAAAATATTTATCTTGATTCATATCTGCTAAATCACCTTAATGACACTGCTGGAAATGTATTCATATTCAAATTCAAATAAATATTAGCCTAGTAAATCTTCATCAGTAAGGTTTTAAGAGACAATTGGCACTACAAAAGAATTTACAGAAATGAGTATTAGTCATAATTTCATGAAAAATAATTTTCTTTTTAGAGGCCCCTTATACTGCTTGTTCTTCCTCTAACATAATTTTAAAGAAGCTCACAATTAGCTGCCATTGAGAATTATTCATCTCTAAAAAAAATATCAATAGCGAGGACATCACATTATTAGTTCATATTACCTCCTATGTTATGGTGTGTTCACAAATTGAAAACAATAATTGGATTTTTGTATCTACTGAACACCAAGCCAGCCAGTAAAGAGGAAAAAAACTATTCTTATTTCATTAGCAGTTTTGCAATTGGTCCATCCATTCAAGCAACATTAGATATCATTTGGTCACTTCATATACACTCTGCTATAAATCAAATGAGCAAACACTCACTGTATTTTAATATCACTGGTTTACTGAATTTAGTCTACTGGACTAAATTGCATCTGAAATTAGCATATCAGTTCTCATCTTCTTGTTTTTTTTCTTACATAATATTAAAAAATTGAAAATGAAAAAAGAAAATTAAATAACAGAACAGACTGTCTAAGCAGCTGTGATGCTGAGCAACACAGTTGAATTGCAGTTGAATTGCAAATGATTAGAAATTGTCTGGCATGAAAAGTATGTAAGAAGCTTCACCCAATGTAATATTTTCAACGAAAACACATCAAATACAGTTGAAACTTTCAGTGAATGAATTGGAGGCAATTTGCCGCAATTCAAGCCATTGTACATCCACACATGTGCACCCATCCGAACGCTCTCTCTCATTTTCATACTGATAATATTCTCTGATGACAGGCTGTGAGTCAGAAGAGCGATCTGCCAGCAGCTGTGCTTCCGGCAGGCCAAGAGTTTAGTAAATCTTTCTTCTCAACATCAACCAACTTAATCTCAGGACTTAACTGGTGCTGTTTCTTGCTATTAAAGTCCTGTCAAACTCATTAATTCACACAAAAAGAGTTGTTTATTTAATACAAATAAATAACTTTATGCTGTCAGGGAAGATGTTAAGTACTTTTAGTGAAATGCTGGGTCAAAAGATGTGACCCAGGTTGTTAGATTGGACAAAAGACTAGAATTATGTTACTTTTGTTACTCGCTTACTTTTAGCTGATAGCTGTTTAATTTTTGCCTTTTCTTCAAGATATCATTTTCACTTTATTCTCATTGTCATCATTTTTACATTGATTACAAAATAGAAGTTAAACTTTTTCTTTTAATAGAGTTTTGACAGAGTTTAATAAAGTTTTAATGAACTTGGTTGTTTTGTTATTGGTTTGGATAATTTATACATGTAGTCCACTTATGTATGCAGAATTAAACTAAACCCACACCTCGATATCAGTTATTTGTTGCTCTAACAATCTTTGTAGAAAACCTAACACAGGAATCTGAATCAAACTCATAACATAGCTGGTTAAATGAAATCAGCTTTGAGAAGGTCCACATGGGGCTACTTCAGAAATGGACAGATTACTCACCTGCAATGACATCAGTCCCTCCCCCTGCAGGTGGGCTGCAACATCTGCAGGCGTTATGTCTCTTCTAGGTGGAGGCAGCGGACGTGGTCTTCTATGCTCAAGACGTCTTTTATCTTTCTTATAAAGCAGAGCCGCGAATGCAAGAATATTGAGAAACAGCAGCGATGCTCCTACTGCTATTGTAACTGAGAGTTCAGTCGAATAGTCCTCATTTGGGATCCGAACTCCACTTTCTCCTCCATCCTGGCCCAAAGCGGACTCCGGAGGCTGTGGCGTTCCCCCTTGCGAACTTGGATGACGTGTGCTTATAGGAGGCCAACCTTTGGATAGACGCTTGGTGTAGGAATAAGGCGTATCGTCTTGTGGAGAGGGACTGTGTGTGAAGGAGGAAACAGATTGCAAGAGTTCATTCACATGATGCAAGTGAGGAACAAGCTGGAGCCAGAAGGAGATCTTGGTGGCGCGGTAGTGGTCTCTGACACGCGGCTTGAGGCCGATGTGAAGGTACAGTTGCTCTTTGGGGGTGTATTTAGACCAAGCAACTTCTTCAAAGCGATTGGGCTTTGTGTGGATGAACTTGGTGTCTTGAGGAACTGGCTGGTTTGGATTCCTGAAAAAAGTAAACCATTGTGAGAACATTCAAAGTGGGCTTTTTTAGTTTTAAGAATTAAAATGTCTCATTTTAAATATCTTGAATTAAGAGCTTGTATATTGTCTAATGTGTCAGAAGCTTCCGACCTTAACTTTCCTTAATTATCTTCCCTTTGAAATTTGCCACAAAGTAATAATAACTTTAGGGCAGCACTGATTACTATAACTTAAGTAATATTTAATGATGATCATCCTGGTGTTGAGAAACGTTTTCTACTATTTTCTCAAGTTTCTCATTAGTCAGCAGCAAGCTAGAGTCCTATAATCATTTTCCGATCTTATTATTCTTTCTAGTGAAATGTTGTCCAGTGATGATTTTTTTTCTTAAAAAAACATACTTCTAGAGAATATTAAAGACATTCCATGTTCTTCTTTGTATGTACAACTGTTTATTCAATGAAAAGGTAAAAGTTAATGCGTCAGGTGAAATTACTTTCATTGAGGACTTACAAAACTGATTTTAGTTTTGTTAATCAGATGAGCTGATTATAAATATTTACAGGTTATAATATTTGTAACCAATGATTACTTGAAAGTGGCTAGTATTCACTAAAATAAGCAGAAACTTAACTGGGGCATCTATTTGGTCCTTAAGGATTCGATGGACTTTTTGAACGCATAAATTTAGGTTAGATAAAATTATGCAATAAAGATCAAATGGAATAATTCTAATGCATCATGTTCAATCTCGTGTGGTTCAGATGTTTTTTTTTTTTTTTGGAAAATGTACTATTTATATTTGTATTTATTCTTTTGAAGTTCTTAAATCTAGGGGAGTCCAAAAAAGCTTCTGAGCTTCTTCTTCGCCGGCCAAATTCCTCTGAGGGAACTGTTTCTCTCAAAGCTGGCCAACAATTTCACACTGACATCTATCCAATCAATATCAAGGTGACATGAAACAAACTACTGGCAAGTAAATTCTCAAAGGATACATTTTGTTTTTGGTGTGGGATTTTTTTCCCCTCTGAACATAACTCCAAGGTGATTTATGTGTAGATCACTGACTTTTCCTGGTTATGTAATAGTTGGACACTCTACAGCACAAACCCATAAGACTGAGAGAGCAAGAGTAAACAAAGACATACATTTAGGTATTTATAATAAGAAAAATATTCATTTAGTAATAGAAGAAAATATTGTTATGAAAGATATTATGTACAATAATAAAATAAGAAGTGGGGGGGAATCCGTCTTCCTGAGATATGAACACAGACTTCCTCCACCTTTTTTTTTTCTTTGCAATTTGTCAAATTATAACTATAACTTCAATGTATTGTATTGGGATTTTATGTGATAAACCAACACAATTGTTGATTTTGATGGCGTGAACACAAATGTTTGTCAAAGTTTTAAGGATTTATTTGCAAACAATGTTGAAAACCATGTTTATCCCATTGCCCCATAATTTACAATGATGTACCATTTTGTGTTGATCTTTGGCATAAAATCCTAGTAAAATACAATAAACTGTTAGTTTTTCACAAATGTGAAAATATCAAGCAACATTAATATTTTCATCTGACAACATATTTGCATCAATCAGCATGCAGTATTTGCATTAGCAGTCAAACTGTTACAAAATGTAAACCAATTTTGAAATTAAAATGTCATTTGCTGATTGTGCTGTATGAGCAGAGCAAAAATGCTGCTATTGTGGGAAGCCCAACTAACACCCAAGCAAGTGCACAAGCTGAGGATTGATACGCCCACGCAGCTCACAAAATATACATTTGGGAGCGTCGCCTCGCTGGTTAAATTGAGCTGTCGCAGAGTTCCATCATCGTCTGTGGCGCTCTCAGCAGAGTGGAATCTATTTTTCAGAGAAAGTTCCCCATTGATAATTGAAGGGTGGACTGAACTCTTCACATTGCTCCTTTGGTGATTTTTGCTCTGTGACTTGCTATGGTGGTAATGATAATTCAAGCTGTGCTGGAAACTGCAAATCTAATGTGATGTCACTGCTTTAGTCCATCTACATTAGAGATGCATTTCTTTTTTTCCACACGTCGGAGTTAAATCTCTAAAAGCACTTTTCCTATTCTTTATGTTGTCAGAGAGCGAGACTGTTTGTTTAGATTAGCAGTTACACTAAAGATATGTCTATAAATCTAAAAAGATCCCAGTGGAGGGAGCATCAATTGAATGAATTAATAGTAATTTATCACTTCTGTTGGTTTATCCTCAACTATTATATTCGTCTTTCAGAGTGTTAGAGAAAAGATATAAACAAAAGTCTTATCAATGCCTGCAAAGATAATCACACCCTTTCAACGTGTTCACATAATGAATATTACATTCAATGTGAAATGTCAGGGTTTCATGTGGTAGATCAACCAATGCATTACTGCAAATAGTTGTTAATGTGAAAAAAGGTTGCAAACTCAATCAGATTGGAAGGAGGGCTATGACACAGATTGGCAATTCATTCTAAATTGCAACATCGATTAGGTCATAGAAAACCAAACCAAATCCATCTCAGTCTCAAGCCTTTTGCAGCCTTTAAATTATCTTCTCATTCTGTTCAGCTTCCCTGTCCCTGCTGAAGAAAAAACATCTCCACAGCATGATGCTGCCACCACCATGATTCATATGGACTTGATACCATCTGACTAGAGTACTTTCTATTTATAAGCACGCTGTCTTAGGTGTCTCTAACATGGAAATTTTGACAGCATTCTTTATGGCTACTTTCTTCTTTATATCCCACCTCTCACCCAGTAACTGATGGAAATAAGCACCAGACCAGCTCACAAGTCCCAGTAATAATGAAAGAACATTGTTACTAAATAGATGAACTGAATAGTATTTTCTGAGACATTCAAAGCTTCTGATTCTGTTTTTTAACTTAACTGTGCTTTATACTTCTCCACAACTGCACCTATGGCCTGCATGCTATGCTCCTTGTTCTGCATGATGCTGTTTGTTCACTATTGTTGTCTAACAAACCACTGAGGCTTTAAGTGACTTCAGAAAATTACTTGCTCTGGATTTTATTTAGGGGAATCAGAGGGAAATGGATAAATGCAGATTGATTTCCCTCTATTACATCTGGTAAAATATTTAGAAAACCATAAATGTGTTTTCTTCCACTTTGCATGTGATCACCTCTTTGCTTTGGTCTATCACATAAAATGTACATTGTGGTCAATTGTGTTATATTAACAAAACTATATAAGGGTTAAGATGTTTAAAGGGCACTGTACATACTCTCAGATCTGCAAAGTTTAAAAGTGGTATTTTTTCTGTACTTGTATTTCTCTAAGCTACAGGCAGATAATTTCATTTTCAGTTTAATAAATTGAATCCTCTGGCTTTAGGCAGTACTTTTTCATTTAACATTTTGAGTAAGCACTCCGTTCCACAGAAATGATCGAGTAGAGAAGAGAGTAGGTTACTTTCAAGCCCCTGAAAAAAATGGAAAGGCCTGTCAAGATTTTGACAGAACATCACAGTGCAACTGCTGCCAAAACAATCTGCAGTGCTTCTTTCATGATTTTATTTGAATAAGTATCTCCTCATCACCCAAGATGCTTTGAAGAAAAAAAAACACAGCGCATTCCTCATCTGTCAATTCATTGTTTGTTCCTAAAAACACTGTTTTCTGCTTTAAGAAAATCTGTTGTCATAGTGGACACTCCCCTTCAAAATTAAATAATTCCATAATACTAAAAAATATATATGTTATGAATAAAAATGCAATCCTGAATGTCAGTTAGCAATAAGAAAGAAGATATTTGTTAGACTATGTGATGTGAATTACTTTGAGTTAGCCCAAAGAATTAAAGCTAGCGTATTAAGAACTGCACACTTTGTGAAGAGGCACAAAGCTGTTTATCTTAATAACAACATTGACTTGAATCTTGGCCGTCTCATTTTAAGCTTGGATGAGATTTGTTCCTGTAAATTCAAGAGTGAGCTGTCCACACTCACGCAAACAACACTGTATGTTGCCAAACCCTTGTCTCTGTGAAGTCATACAAAAAAACGAGGAGGAAAAAATCAATCAGCGCACTTTATTTTACATTCGAAAATGTGATTAAATGTCTGGGCCTTCATTCATTAAAATAAGATCTCTTCTCCTCGTGGGCAAGGATTAGATATTGATATCACAGTAAAGCTAATTAGCTGAAGAGATGCTTTTGTTTTTCATGAGTTTTTGCTGCACAAAGAAAATGAAAAACCCTGTCAGTGGGATTTTCCATCTGATTGATGTTTCACATCACTGAACCTTTTTCAGCTTACCCGGTCTTGGCGAAGTTGGTCCAGTAAGTCATTACCACTGCGCTCAGCATCACGTCGTTCTTGGAGAAGTTACAGTTGAACAGATCGGTGGGACCCACCATGGGCACGCCGAACACGTAGGGCACCTACACACACCAATACACACGCTGGATTAACCAACACAATACATCCAATCCCTGCTTAAAATGAGACAATCTGTAAATTAACTTAAAATAAAGCCTCCAATTCATTTGAAGATTTAAAAGGATTGTGGTGTAAGTCAGCCCTGGAAGAGTGTAGGTACTTCTTTTTTTTTTAGAGAATATGCTTAAAGCAGAACATTTTTAGCATCAGTGAACTGAAATTTCATAACCACTCAAAAGAATGTATTTGAAGTAGCCTAAAAGAAAATTAGAACTCAGCTCCTTCTCTCTCTTCAGACTTCAGCTTTTAGAAAAGCCCACATGAAAGAAAAATGTGAATAAAATGTTCAGAACTTCCATATTGAAAACAACTGCCTACACTGCAAAGCAAATGAAAAGAAGAGGGGACAGATGTGGAATCGCACAGAGCAAATTAAGCACATTAAAACCCTTTTTATCTTTAAAGGTACTTGCACAAGTGATGATGCATCCAGCAACTGCTGTTTTCTAAGCTTGGTACTGTTCTCGATTAGATATTCCTTGCAGTAATTACATATTTGCTGTAATTAAAACAGGTGATTAGGGACTTTTTTTTTTTTTTGCTTTGTTTTGCCTTTTGCTTAGAATAGCTCGGCGATAATTGTAAAAACCAACTGTGAAACACAGCTCACATTTGTATTTTTCAAGCAGTATTTTAAATTGATCTCTTTTTTTCACCTTTTTGCCTTCCTTCCTCAGATTTGTTAGTTGCACATAAAAAGTGAACCCACAAATACAGTAGAAAGTATCAAATCATAGATCAAGAAAAATAATTCAATAGTTTTTTTCATGTACAACTTAGTTTGATTTGGTTCAATTTTGAGTATTTCTGCTGTGAAGCTTTTGAAGAATCTTTGATGAATCATAAAGCCGTAGATGAAGTGTATCCTTTTTGGAGCCATCGACAACCTTGTAACTTCATTCTGCTAGAGTATTTGGCCACTTCTCTTATCAGAAACGGTAGTTCAGGCTCTGAAGTTTAATAGGGCTGAAGTTGGCACCCTTCCAGAGACTAACATGTTAGCCTGATTTATTCCTTTCAAAACCACTGTTTTTACAAGGTTTTGATATATGTGCTTTGTTGAAACATTCAGTTGTGTCCAACTTTTTATCTCTCTGATGCTAAAAGTCATTATTTATATTGCTCAGAGGCATCCGAGTTACCATTAAAGCTCAAGTTTATCACTAACTGGAAGACGCTGAAACCCCATGAAGCCGCTAAAAAGTCACACTTGCCGAGAGACCAGCTCTGAAACCGACAGCTGCAAGCGGACATGAAATTAGCTGCAGTTATTGGATAAGTACCTTTTGGTAAAATGTTTTATGGTAAGACAAGATAAAGATTGAGCTTTCATGCCAAACAGAAACACAACAGAAAGAGAGTCGAGGTAAAACTTTTAAACCCAAGAATACTATACAATCTTTTAAGCACAGTGGCGGCAGCCTCGTGCTGAAGTGTGAACAAACCTGGTGCAACATTGAAGATGGAGGACTACCAATAATTTTTTATCTTCTCCACAGCTTTCATGCTAAAACCTGAATTCAGCATGGTGGACCAAACAGAAAATTAGTAAACAGTTTTTTTAATGAACAAAACAGGCAGGAATATTAAGCTCTATAGGCACCTGAACCTCAACCTTATTGGAAATGTAATGACCATCTCTAAAAACCATAAGAGACTTAGATTTATTGCAACTAATATGATTAGTTATTCTTGCAATATGATTTTTATACTTAATTTCTAATTTGTGCACCAAAATTATCATTCTATTTTGAAAAATTATTTTAAATAAATCATTAAAACCCCTAAATGAATCACATTTATGCTCACAGTGAGTGTATCTGAACATCCACGGATATATTCTCCTTTTTGTAGCATCTAATAACATCTCTTTTGGCAAATCAAAAGCAAATATTAGGAGAAACTCAGCAGTCTTACCTCATCACCATGGGCAGAATCAGCCCAAGGTGGCGTGGCATCACTCTGGCAGTGGTGGTAAAAGGAGTAGAAGTAGGTAGGAGACCCATACTGTGCATGGAGATCCGCTGTAGCAATGGCTGGCGCCACCCATTGGTGATCTGTAAAAAGTGCTACCAATGTCTTTCGACGAGTTTCTGCGTTGTCGCGATCTGCCCAGTCAGTGTACATGAACCTTCACAAAACACATTTGAAATCAGCTTGCCACTTCCTAAATATATTTTCTGGATGGTCAAGTATTTACATTTAATGCAGTAGCTTTCCAAACGTCGGAGTCACAGATGGTTTGTTTAAGTTATTAAAAATAAACAAATGAGTACATTGAGTAAAAAGCTTTCAGCTTGTAAATAGTACCAGAAGGTGGGTGGTCACACAGTGCTGGGAAAGCAGTTTTCTAACAGCATTTTATTGCTAAAAGACAGTAAAATATTTTATTGCTAAAAGACAGTAAAATAACCTTGCAAATTCCTTGCAAAAAATAATAATAATAAAGATTAGCTTGACAGAGTATTTTGAAACAGTGAGAGAAGGCAACTAAAATGACAGATCTAGTTAAAAGGGCCCCACCAAACACACCCAATATGTATGCAACCAACAAATAACCAACAAGCGCTCAGTGAATACGGCTAAATGCTAAATTCATTAATCGTGCACGTCTACTGTGACATTATATAGCTGAGTATCTGAAATCTTTAGAGGCTGGTTTTACTGCAGAGAGGAGGGAAGTACAGAGGAGCTGAGAGCAAAATGATGATCAGACCAATGAGTACAACAAATTGACTAATGGATGTTACTGTCCAGAAAGAAGTCCAGCAATCACTGTGTTACTTGGCAACACAGAGCTTTGCATGCACAGTAAATTATTAGAGTTTATGGGCAACAGTTGCTATGTGAACAATATATCTGGGACTGTAATGCTCAGAGATAGCTGTTTTATCTACATGTTTAATCGTCTGTAAGGGTGGATTTTTATTTATTTCATAGTTTATTATTTTTACCTAAAGGCCATTGACACCTGATGGCATTGAAGTGGTTCGTTCTCCTCAGTATGTTAGCAAATTGCAAAATTCAGTTTGTCTGCACTAAATCAAAGTGCAAGGATAAAGGTGCAATATCATTGGAATTATCTTAAGCCTTATTTTGTGAATTATAATTTTATCCATGCAAATTGTGTTCATTTGTGAGCATTAGAATTGCAGCAGGCAGACTTTGGTACTTTCCACTCAGACACATTATTCCCGATCAAGAGCTTCATTGTTTTGCAGGTTGTGCTACATAAAATTTCATTTTGTGTTAATCTGTGACTATTATTAAACTTTCAAATTGTTTCATTTTAGCAAAAGATCGGCAGATGTACAAAGATCAAAGTCAAAATAAAAGACAAAGCTGCGTTACAACTGTGTCAACCTTGCTTATTTCAGGCGGGCGATAAATAGAAATGTTGTTTACAAACCCCCATTGCTTTAATTTTATGCCATTTTTTGAAAAGCCTTTATCAAAATTCTTCAATCAATAAGGTTGCTATTTTAAAACTAAAGCTGTAAAGCTATAATCTGCATGCTTTACAAGCAACCAACTGCAGCCTAGCTACGTAACTGTATTATTAATCAGCTGATATCAGCTTGTTATGTTTTTCAATTAAGGCTTTAAAGAGAAATGGGTTGGACTAGAATCACCTGATTTTCAGTTTGACTCACCCTGACAGGTTAGTGACCCAATATAACCTCAAAAATCAAGTATTTTTCTCATCAGTGGAGAGTTCTGGATTAGGTTTTACCAGGTCTTCTATGTGGAAGTTGTTACTTCAGTGAAACCCAAAATTTGATTGTTTTTTTTTTTTTTATCTACCAAAAGTTTGAAATGAAGTCTGAGAAACCTTAAAAAGTGAAAGAAGATTGAAACAGCATTTTTTGCAGAGGATGAACATAAGGCTGCTTCTTTTACTGAGAGGCTTAGTGAGATAATAGGATTGTTGTAAGTGCTATATCCCAATTGCAATTTTATTGTTTGATGTCTGTCAAGGATTGCTGAATTTGGAAACGTTGACAGCTATTTGGATTTTTTTTGTTTTGTTTATTTATTTCTTGTTGATCTTAGCGGAAGAATCTCCACTTTGTATGAAATATACAGAGACAACTGTTTACATTTAATTCTATTAATCAGACTATTTGGGCTAATTTCTAATTGAAGATGCTGAGGACAGATTCCAATTTCAACTCTAATCATTGTCTTTGTTTTAAAATAACGGCAAAACTCTTTTTTACAGCCATCGCTCATGAAACATACATTAATTATAATTAATGGGGAAAGGCTGGATAAAAATAGTTAAAAAGGGTTTATTTATAGTTTATTAAGACAGTAGTTCTGAAAACTTTTCAACTTCTGACATACACGCAAGCAACAAAAGAGCTGCTGAGGCACATTGTCTTTTATCTATTTGTAAGAACTGTTTTTAATCTCTTCTAGAATAGATAGCATAATTATTCTTTCACCATTATAGTTTTTGTTATTTTGTGATTTTTTTTGTACTCTCAGTATTGTGCACTTGTTGATTTTTAACCCCAAGTGAGGTCCAGACAGGCCCAACTTCATGAACCACAAATTTAAGACCATCAACAAAAACTAGGATTGGTAGGTCAGCTTTACAAAACACTGATATCTGTCTCTCAGCCATAATAATACATTCATTACTGCCTTTGCTTATTAAAAATATAAAGTGTATATTTTCTTGTAAGGAGTTTCTATTCATTTCAGTTACAATGTCCTTCAGCCAACTTAAGGGTCATCACTACCGAGTGCATCTGCATAATGCTTGCCACGTACCTATTTCTTCACACCTCCAACATAAAATTATGTATCTGTGAATGAAGATAATCTGGACCCATTTATTGCCTTTTTTCCTTGTTTGTCTATTCCAATTTATGAAGTCTGGTAGTCATATTTTCAAGAATATCACATGGATGCTTAAACATACATAGATTTTCATTTTCATACTCACCGTATGCTCTCTCTTAGTGTATCTCGGCCTTCCGGGTAACCATACAGACTATCCACAAAGTCTGACACGGCAAAGTCAAAGTCCTCGGCTGTGACACCGTCCTCAGAGTCCACAATTCCCTCCACAAACTTCACGCCTTCCCCTTGGTTGACCCCCAACATCACATCATAGTTCAAAAACTCTCCCTGCTCCATCAAAATCTGAGGGTCATCAGGTATAACGTCGCCATCAATCACCGGGGCAAAAGCAGTGTGATATTTGGCCGGAGTAATGTTCTGCTCCACAAGTTCACGGAAACTCCGGCCCTGGAGGCAGGTGACCAATTGAGTGCTATCATCAATGCCACAGCCAACCCTCTCGCCAAGCTGCCGGGCATATTTGCTTGGCTGGTAGTTGACAGCCCAACTGGCTAAAGCGCTGCCACTCTGGATAATGGCTCTGTGAAACAGATCTGATACAAAAAAATAAAAAATAAAAATTCAATAAATGTAAAAAGGCACATTTTTGCAAAGAAATTTTTGTACACTAGCACACCAAGACACATGTACACTCATATATTTTTTGGTTAAAAAGTGTAAATAGTCTTGTGATACATTTATCTTTACTGTCCAGCCTTTGTACAATTCAGGAAGGAGATGGGTGCTGTGTCCAGATTTTTGTGTGTGTGAGTGGGTGTGTGTGCATCTGTGAAATGTGTGAAATGTGTTCATCAATGCCAGAACAAAAGCAAAAGACTAAAGAAGATGCTGATTGTAAATTGAATCCAGCGTTAACTGAGTCCAGGGAAGACATGACATGAAAGGCCTCTCAAACAGGAAGCCAGTTCTCCAAAAGCAAGTTAGAAAGCCAAATGACAAATGGCATAAAAAAATATTTAAAAAAAGACACAAAGTTTTGGAGAAATGTGAATTGTATCCAGTTAATAAAGTTTCATTTATGGTCCCCTTTCATGTAATTAAATGTAACATGAAAGAGTTCAAACAACCTTAGAAAATCCCACCAAATATAAACTAAGTAAATAAAAAAAAAAGTGAAGTATAAAAATGTTCCCGTACCAGTACATAAAAAAGCAAATAAATCAAGATTTAGCACAGAATTATAGCAAAATAAAAGTTGAAATGTAGCAAATAAAGATAAACTTACTTAAAAAGTGATAAATGCATAAAATGTAAAGACTTAAGTAAAAACCAGAGAAAAAGAAAAGTTTTTCATTGTATTTGAAAGGCAACATTTAAGGCTTTCTACTCTTATTTACCTTGGTTCCAAATATGTATGATGTGTAATCTATGACTTTTCCCAGAATACACCATCCTCATCAATTTTTTTACGCAAAAAAAAAATCAAGTGAAAACTAAACATCAGTGAGGAGTGAAATTGTGTTGAATGATTTTATCTTACCTTCAGAGTAGTGGGACAAGGTGAGGAGGCTAACGCATGATGCACCAGCACCAGATCCAAACACGGTGACCCTGCTTGGATCGCCACCAAAGGATGCAATGTTCTCCTTCACCCAGCGCAGAGCCTGAATCTGATCGAGCAAGCCGTAGTTCCCTTTTGCTGCCTGGTCACCTGTGCTGAGAAATCCTGCAGGCAGGCAGCGATAAAAGGAAGTCATATTAACTGCAAAACATATACAGCCATGCTCAATTGACTAAAATGTGTGTTCCAGTTTATCTCTTCTGTCAGATTAAAAGTGCCATTTGAAAACAACTTTTAAGCAGGTTTTAAACATTCTTTTGCAGTAAACCCACATTTCTTAATTAAACTGTTTCTTATTGGCCTAACCTAATATTTCAATTTTAAATGTAATGTTTTTTTGGCCAGTTATAAGCTGGAAAGTCATAATAGTTAAAGGATACAAAAACAAATTGTTTTTAACTTGGTGGGCTTTTCAATAAAGTTCTAAGTGATTGAACATGACTGTCTGAATGCACACGTGTGCAACTTTATAGTATCTTTTGAAATACTCATGCTGCTATTACTTTTTCATACACTGCTGTGTAATCTATTGAAACTATTGGGACTTTCTGTAACAGACCAACACAAAGTAGCGCTAAAGTGAAGACACATTAATAAAAATATTTAATGTGTGGTATTAGTTGCTTTGAATTAGCTAACTCAGGGCTTATTACAAATGTATGCCACACTTTTCAGACATGCTTTGTAATGTATGTCAAATACTGTGTCCTTTTTTCTTCCCCTTCACAATTATGCACTTTTTTTGTGTTGGTCTTTCCCCATTATAATATCTCTATAAAACACAATGAGCCTTGTTATTGCATCGTGACAGAATGTGGGAAATTTTATGGAGTATAAATACTTTTGCAAGGAACTATATTTATCATAGCTTTAAAAATGAGATGGAAAAAAAGACGTGGTGTTTTTACTTGGTCTTAGACTGGACCAAACCACAAAGGTGCAGTCATAGTACTGTGAACTTACACAAGCAGAAAACCACATACGCTTGCCATCACACCCACAGCCGCTTCCTATTCCCACTTCTACTAACATTATTAAGTAAACACAGAAGATCCTAACGACTCATTTTGCCATAGTATATCTCATTACTGCAGAAGCTCATTTCTGTGAACCTCCGGCACAAAAAGAGTATAATAATTGTGAAGGCAAGGCCAAAGTAGTGCATTACTTCACTTCTGTGCATTTTATCAGATGTTTTATTGAAGCAAAAAGGAAAATATAAGGATTATATTCATTTTGAATGGATACAGGATTATATGCATTCAAGCAATATTTAACTAAAGCTGTTTAAGGTGTTCACATTTTCACAGAGGCATATTTCATTTCCAGGTGAATATTGCGGAGTAGGCAAAAAAAATCATTGGCATAATAGTGTATTGCATTGTGTAAATGGGCTCACCTCATGCATCCACTCATGATGATGGAAAACAGGAGAAGGAGGAAGGTGATTCTGCTACTCGAAATGAGGAGGATGATGATGATGGTAATGGTGAAGATTGTATTGGAGGTGGCATAAACACACAAAATGGAGGGAAGGGGGGGTGAAGACAAAAATAGGCTTGTAGAATTGTTCTTTGTTTTAGCTCACAATGTTGATCACATCTGCAGCAGCAATTTTCCACAAGGTCAGCCTGAACTCTTTCAATGTTTAAAGATGTTTAAATCTTTTTAGTACATGTTCAACTCGAATTCAATACATTTTCAAGAAAACCTGCACAGCCTGAGGCGACCTGATAGCTAAGCTGTGAGGGCACATGGGCATGAATGCCTTCAAGCAGCGAATCCCAAGACCAATTCCAAGCCTGCTGAACCTTTTACTGCATGTCTTTCTCCACATTTCCTGTCTGTACCGCTGTGAGCTAATTAAAAAAACCATTATCTGTTTAATTAACGCTGAGTCAAAGATGTGGCATTCCTTGTAAGAGCAGAATCTCTCATAAAGTCCTCAAATATTTCCAAGCAGCAGAATTAGCATCAGCTTTGTGCTTTTAAAGAACATTTTAATGGATAAACAAACTTGAAACAATCCCCCTGACATTTTGTTATTGTTATTGTTTTTATATAAAATATCAATACCACTGAGACGATTGAATATGCATCTTGTCCAGTTGACTTAATCACACTGAAGCCATAGATACTCTGCTCACATAAACAACTCAATACGCTGGCTCTTAGTACAGCCAAGTAAAGGATGCTTTATGGCATTAAATGTTTTAACCCTCATGTGCCCCTTCCTAAGCTATTTTACTCCGATAACCGCAACCGAAAAAAGCCTAAATGGATTTTAAGATAGTCTATTTGTTCAACTCTTTGGCTTTGTAGGGCTGACTAAAATTAGAAAAACTAAAGGGAATCCAACATTTTTTTTCTCTTCAGAGAGCAATGAGTTGAAGAGCCATGGAGTTAAAAAGGATCAGATTCAAGACGATGACAGTAGTGGAAGGAAAAAAACCTCAGAGAGGTTTTGTTTCCACAAGGGATGCTGAACATGTTTCCATTCAAACAAGAAGGAATAGCGGGAGAGAAACTGTGCTCTGGGTAAGAAACAAATCACTGATGGTTTGAGCATTTTTATAGCTCATTGAAGGATTAAATAACCCAGATGGTGAGAATTGTGTAAATTTGTTCAGATTTAAAAAAAAAAAAGACTGCATGCAGAATCACCTTAAACAAAACTGTAATGAATTATTAAGAATCCCTCCACATAAGAAATAAGTTGAAAGATAATGATCAACCTGCCAGACTTAATCTTCTGAATCAAGTCACAAACTATAGGCATATCTCAATAAATTAGAATATCAATGAAAAGTTAATTTATTTAATTAATTAAATTTCAAAAAGCAAGACTTGTACATACAATTATTATTCAGTGAGTCATATCTTTTCAAGTGCTTAATTTTGTTCATGTTAATCACTGCCGTTTGTAAAGTTGCTTCTTAAAAACACTGGCCATTATATAAAACTAATAAAACGTATTCCATCATATTATTTAAAAGTTTAGTGGAAGGAAAAGCTGTGGAAGAAGCAAGTGTTCCAGCAACAGGGAGAGGACTGTGACGTAAAATCAAGAGTCTGGGGAAGATTCACAACAAATCACGCCCAGTGGTGCTGATTCCGCTCTTTGGAATCAGTGCTTCAAGATGCCCCACACACAGATGTTTCCAGAACCCTGGACATGTCCTGGACTGTTATATTCTGTGGAGCAATCTTTGAAACCACTTTGCTACTTAACAATGCAATAAAAAAATTTTTAACTGCATAAAAATGGTGCATGAAGTGATGCAGTTACAAGGGCCTCATTTTTAAAAGTTATCCCTTTTCCAAAACCCCTTCAGTCTAAATCCAAAATGACAAAGACAATTTACGAACACATTCCATATGTGAAGAAAGAGTAATTCAAGTACTTCATGAATTGGTTCGATTTTTTCATTGCAGTGTGGGTGCATCCATGCATACTCTGTAAAACTATGTAGCCTGCAAACAACTTGTGTTAAGATTAATGTTTTTAATTAATGTAAGTCATCAGAGTATATCTCACATTATAATTGTTTTTCTGACAAAGCTATATTTTTTACTCCAAAAATTGTCCACTCCAATTTAAAAATTGTCTACCCCAATTCAAGCATTCAGCATGGTGAGTTGAGTGAATGGTCATCAGTGCAGGCAAAGAATCTATGTATTATAGCACTAGATTAGGTAACAAAATTGCTATAATATGTTTATGGCAAATGGAGGAACATTTGGGCAGTGCATATGTTTACATCAAGTCATAGAATTTTAAAACCCAAAACAATGTGGGGGAGCTTGTCTTACTCGGGAATTACATTATTTACACTATAATTTAATGTGTAGAAATTTTAAGCTGAAAATAATTGACCTTTTTCCATTTGTCTTCCCATACAGTACAAGTAAACCAGATGTTCTAGAGCAAAAGGGTAAAGTGTAGAAAATACTTGGAAATGGATTTCTGAACTCTGGTCATACCTGACTTTTTAAGCAAATCTGTGTTTGAAGAACCAAGTAGTGCTATCTCTCTGCCAACCCTCAGCATTACAAAAAGGAATGAGAAACCCAGCGACCTTGGTATGAACGAGCAAATTAAAGTGGTGCAGATATAGAGTAAGGGGAAGGAATGAAAGGGAACACAGCTTTCTGTGCACTTGTCTTTTTGACAAAAAAGCCATTGGAATTAAATTTGAAATGGTCCAGAAAGAACCCTTTTGAAACTTAATGAAACCTTTAAACCTTGACTAAACAGGTATTTTTCTGTGAAAATTCTGTAATCCTATAATTACTGAGGTACAAAAGCTTGACTATGCCAATTAATGACTTTATATATGATCTAATCAGATTTCCTCCACCTTCTGAAAAAACAGACACCCACAAAACAGTTTCAATAAGTAGAACAACATTGTTGTATTGCTGCTATGGCAAAGTAGATGTTGGGTAAACTGGCAACACTAAAGGAAATTATTACATAAAATTAAAGGGAATTTAAGGTTTATGTTGGAAAAGTATTTTATACAAAACCATATCCTATCCAAAACCACTACTACAACTACTACTACTAAAAGTATAGCTACTTGCTATCTAATAACACAATGTCCTGCACATGGTTACACAAATGATGTATTAAACTGAGATAAGTGATTCTTTTACCTAAAACTCCAAGGCGATAGTTGAGGGTTATGACAATGACATTGCCATAGCTTGCGAGCACACTGCCATCCATCATGTTCCCGGTGCCTTCAGAATACGAGCCTCCGTGGACGTAGACCATCACTGGCCGCTGACCCCCCTCCTCATGGATGTCTGAGATAGACAGGCGGATTACCAATGTGTTCAAATCATCAAGGTGACATTAGTTAGCTACCAAAATCCAGAGGGTGCAGTCCTTGATTTGTGTGTGCATGTGCATGGGTTCACATGCATTTATATCAACCAATATGTATGCATGAGTAAGCCTGTGTCCTTCCCATTTTCCTCCACAAGTAAATGCGTAAACCCCTTAGCGACTGACGCAGGTGTCTGCATATTAAGCGTCGGTTCAACCAGCGGCATGTTGAAGGGGAAAAGAAAACAAGGCCCATTTTAAAAAACCTTTATTTATTTATTCAACAAGCCTGAGTATGTGCACCAACAGCTCTCTGTCATGTTTTAATCATTTGTCAGAGGTATCATTCTCTTAGCTCATTTATTCACCATAGGGCATGAACCATAACATGTATTCCCAACCTTAACTGTGCATGTAAATTTAACCGCCCCAGACCCGTAAACTTACTACACATCGACAAGTTCACTGACCTTCCTCTGTGGGTACGTAGATGTTGAGGTAGAGACAATCCTCACTCTGATGAGTGAGGTAAGTTGCTGCTATATCCAGGTTTGCAGTGAGCCAGGATGGCATCATATCTCCCAGCATGCTCCTCTCATCCAAAGCCTGCGGGCACACTGGAGCAAACTGTGTCACATTTCGTATTCCAGGCCACGGCAGAGGCGGCTCAGGTGCCTGGAAGCGGCGATCCCCAGTTGGTGGCCTTGCATATGGTACTCCCAGGTACTGGATGACAGGCCCCAGAAGGTCCGAGGGCAGAGGGGTCAGGATGCCACGAATGCGGCCCTGCGCCGTGGAAACAACAGGCACTGTCTGCTCAGCCAACAAAGAGGTCGGCTGGAGAGAAAGGGAGAAGCAAAGGGAAAGGAGGAGGGATGGAAATCCAAGTGGGGAGGAGAAGGGGGAGAGAGGGATGGTTCTGCTGGTCCTCAGCTCAGACATGACGGTTTGATTAGGCAGAAAACTAGGAGAAGGAGGGGGGAGGATGCTGGAGGCAGGTTGAGGGTTACGTCTATGCTGACCCCTCAGAGGTATCCAACTCTAACGCACAGCTGCTGCTCAGCTTGGCCCATAACACACACTGCACGCAGTCCTGTCTCTTGAGAGCAACCTTTTCCCCTTGTGTATGTGTCTGCATGTGAGTCAGTGAGTCTTTGCCTCTGAGTGTGCAGTGACTCAGTCACTGAGTCCCTGTGAGTGTACGTATGTATGTGCTGGAGAGTTTAAGTGAGCGTGTGTGTCCCGGACTGGCAATATGAGCCTGCATGCATGTCTGTGGGTATATATGTGTGTTGATGCATGTGTGTGAATGTGTCATTATGTAAACAGTGGCATCACTGTTCCTCTGTCACTCTCTCCTTCCGGTCACCCCCATAACAAGCCCAGACTGACTCCTGGAAGCAAGAGAAGGGAGGGAGGGAGAAACGGGGAGAGACAGAAATAAAAGATGAATTTAATTAGTTTCCAGTGGAATATCCTCACACACACACACACACACGCATGCATGTATGATACACATATGTCATCGGGCTTTGCTGAACTACCTTACTTGCTTCTTTTAAAAATAGATATGAAAGTGATAGATGGGGCAAACGAGATGTTGTCCGCTCAGCTTAACTTGGTGTCAGGCTGTCAGGGCTGCTGCTGTGTCACATCCTCACTACAGACTGTTTTACAGATCACAGGACCTTGTTGGGGAAGGGGAGGTGTATATATGTGTGGGGAAGTGAGGGGTGGGGGGTGGGGGGTGGGGGATGGGTGTCACATCACATGCTTAATTAAATCCTGAATGCACCACGGGGCTTCTGACCTGCATGTAGCGTAAGGCTGGACACATGTGACACAAACACACTTGTTTCTTCCTTGACATCACACACACAACAAGCTGAATCAACTTTCACCCTGTTACCTCTGATTCCTACCCTTTGACCCTATATAGACAATCCCAATTGTTTCTCAAGATAATAGAGAGGATCTCAAGCAGCTGATTCCAAGTTGCTTGAGTTACTGATTCTCAAGCAACTTGGTCTGTGTGCATTTGCACTCTTGTTCAGACTCTCTGAAACCTTGATATCAAAATAAAATGTAACATTTAATTTTATTTAAAAGGAATATATTTGACACCTCAGCAACAGTCTGGATTATTTATATCTCTATTTCAGAAGTGACTTAACACAAAGAATTGTGTAATTGTAGCCCAGGTCTTGGGTATCCTGTGTGTGGTGTTTCTTGTGAGTGTGAAGTGACTCCAGTCACTCCACACCTTATGAATCTCCTCCAAAGTGCTGAATGAGCTTTGATTCACAGTCATCTAAAAGCTGTTAATTATGTGTTTTTACCTGCCACTCTTATTCCTTCTACTAAACTTTTCATTAAACAGCACCATGCCAACTAACTTTGTTAATGATGATTGTACGCTTGTCATGGAGGGTACCAACAAATTTCTGCTGGACAACTGTCAAGTCAGCAATATTTCCAATGACTGTGTCTAATTCTAGTTTTAAAATAAATAAACAAAAAATCATTTAATTTTGGTTTTACAGAGTTTTAGATTTTTCAAATGATATCTGTTTTGGTTTTCTAATAGCTGAAGCTTGTAATGGTCAAATTAACAGTAAAAAAAAAAACTTTTTTTACATCTTGTATGTAATATAATATATATTTACACTTTTCAGTTGGATTAGAACAATAAACAAGTTGTATATTACTATTCTGACTTTTTTTTATATGCCCCTTTATGTTTATGCACGAGATGATGCATCAGCATCTTGAAAGGAAATCTCATTTTGACCACTGCTAGAACTCAGGTGATAGAGTGAGGAGAGCAGAACTAAGGGCGGGGGTAACCTCAGTAAATGGGATTCAGCCTGTAGTTCTGGTCACCTTTCATGCTCACACACACACACACACTCACTCCTTTCTCCCTCTGTATCTCAAACACACATGCACACACACGCACACACACACAGCTGCTTCCCAGCCGGCTCTCTCTGAGGGCCTAAAGACAGAATATTAACACATCCGCACATACACCCACTCTTGAGAAATTTCTATACTATCACAGACACACTGATGTCTCAACCGTGTACCCCTCTATAAGCTGCAGTCGTGTCAGAATATAGCTATGATCATCATTATCTCCGCTCTTCCTGGGTCGTATTGGTGCTGTCCAAGGTGCTAGTTAACATTCCAGTGGTGATCACACACACGCTGATGAATAACGCTCCATTTATCAAGGCAGACCCGCCGCCTGCCACCCTCCCCCTTGCTTTATTTTCATATGGGAAGAACTGATAAAAGCAGCAACCCAAAAAAATAAATAAATAAAAACTAGAGGATGGGGAGGAAATGCTTGCCAGTGAGGCAGAATATCCCATCTGAATGTCTATCGGCAATGAAGCTGACTACGGCAAAAAAAAAAAAAAAAAAAGAAAAAGAAAGAAAGAAGGAAAGAAAGAGAAAAACACACACTCTCTACTGCTTTTTCTCCTATTCTTTCATTCACACACACATGCAAGCATACCAAAATGCACAAAAACCGAATCTGCATTCCCGCTGCAGTAAATGAACAAAAAAAAGAGAGAGAAAAGAATCCCCAAATGACAGATGCACCGTACCCAGCCGGGGTGAGTGGAGTGAGATCCCGCGGTGCATGTTCTCCTCTTCCAGTCCACCGCAATGATCGCCTCGTGTTTTTGCTGCTGCGGCTGATCCGACGTGCCCGGGATGGGATATGGGGAGATATTCCTACACTGCTGCTGCTCCTGCTGCTCCTGCTGGTAGATGTGGTGGTGGTGGTAGTGGTGGTAGCACGTCTCCTGGGTGAAAATAACCCATATAAGAAAGAAAGGAAAACGAGGTGGGGGTTGCAGCGGGGAATCAGCCCTCGAGTCTCTTTCAGTCCGCTGAAATGTGAAAGCGATTTGGGGGAGGGGGGGCAAAGCACAGATAGTTGGAATGTAGGTATTTCTTCCGTGAACACAGGGCCCAGGACGTTTAAATGATCAATCTCCCTCTCTCTCCTTTTCTCCCTCTCCCTTCCCTTCTTTCTTTCTCCTCCCCCATCTCCCTCTCGCTGCCTCTCTTTCTTTCTCTATTTTCTCCTCCTAGATGTGATTGGACAGTGTGGCAGGCAGCAGCTACTGATCCAATGATATGCACCTAGCTCTGCTAGACTGGGGGAGAAAAAACAGAAAGAGGGGAGTAGGGAGACACACTATTGAAGAACATTTGTGGGTAAGCACGCATGGCTTCACACACACCTGTAGAGCATGACTAAATCACTATTGCTGTCAAATGTAGGGATTTATACACCTGCTTGCACACATCACCTCTCATACACACAAATAATGCTGAAGTACACAGTGACCTCTTCAGGACCAGAACAGGAGAGTCTGTCCCCATTCTATTTAGCTATGGCTGCAAGCAGCTCCCTCCCTTAGGCGCTCCGTGTCAGTCGAGTGTGTGTGCATGCGTGCGTGTGTGTGTGTGCGGGTATGGTAATGCAGTTGGTCCGCAGTCGCTACTAACTGTGTTTGGGAACACTCCTCACGTCAGCACACCCTGCTGCAGCAGCATTCAGGACATTTCTATTCCTCTCCTCAACAATTTCCTATCCAGTCATCCATTTACTCCTGCTCCTGTGTCTGCTTAGCCCTCCTGCAGTTCTTCTCCTTCTTTAAAACCAATAATGAGAAGAAGAAGAAGAAAGGGAAAAATAAGAAATGCCACTCAATTTGTGATGGAATTTGAGAGGAAATTTAGAAGGATGACATTGACTTCTGGTCTAAGCTTCACAAAGTCTTTGCAGTTTGGGACAGCAAAAGTTCTGTACTCTGTTGTTTTTTCTTTTTGAGCTCAGAAATGAAACCCTTCCATTGGTAATATAAGCAAGACTCTGACTTATATTGGTTTCCAGTGCCACAGGTTTAGATGAAGGTGAGGGCTTTTGAATTTTTTAAAAGTTGAAGCTAAAGTTCAGTGAAATCCTTTGCCCTCAACTTAAGGATGCCACAAATAAATACTGAGATGTCTAATAAAGTTTAAAGACTACAGATTAGAACATCACCTAAAAACACAACAGAGCCAGAATCATAAACACAGAACCCGGCAATGTTTTCTCAGTAAATTTGTTTCTAATCAGGCTGCTGATGGGATGTCACAACAGCTGTTCACAACCCAACCATCTTCCCAAATAACAGTCTTCAAATCTTGAAGGCTCTGTGAATCTGTTCTATTCACTAGTTTTCAGTTCTTTCAATGTATTTCAACTGAATTCAAGCCTAATGATTGACTTGATCATTCTATCAGCTTTTCATTCACTCTGAAACAAACCAGAGGTTTCATTGGCCACATTTGGGATCATTGTTTGGCAATCAGACTGCACCTCCTCATGCAGGTGTGGGTTCTCTCTGGGTTATCTGCTTTACTCTCACAGTCTGCAGGATTGATTAGTTTCTCTAAATTTTTCCTTAGGTGTGTGTGTTTCCCTGCAATGGTTGATTGCAAATGCAGGCCACACTTTTCAGACATTTATTTGTATTTGTAGCTAACAAATATTTATATCGCCTGTAATTGTCTTTCCATTTCACGACAATGTAACCTCATAAAATGTGAAAAAGTTAGAGCAGTACTGTATGTATGCGAAGCACTGTATGTGTCATTTGCTCTGTGGAAAAAAAAACTTTAAATCCTCATTGAAATATTTCTGTTGATCTCTACCACCTGGTTATTTGCTATGCTTTCTCCTAACTAAACCTAAACTTAAGAGTGATGAATGGTTAAAACCTTTAAGGAACTACATTTGAATTATTGCCCTTTAATTTGCAGACTGAGGATGTTCTTTCCCCAAAGTTGGTCAATCTGTGCAAAACCAAACAGCAAGCCAATTCATAACCTCCAGGCTGCATCTAATGGAAATCAGAACATGCTTTTTGTTTCTGCATCCAAGTGATGTTATTAATTTTCTTTTAAGGCTGTTAAGGAGATCTTGATCAAATAAAATCACCCAACTTTTTTTTGCTGGTCTGCATTCTGAAAAGCTTTCAGTCAGTAAGCTTACCCTGTCGTAATGTTACAACCATGCAGCTCGGAGTGGAAATATCCAGCTTCCTCATATTTATCTTCTTTCAAGATCGTCTTCACACAATGTTGCCTTCGTTGTATATTCATACTTTGTTGTACGTTGTCATAGCTTGAAAACCAGGCCCAAATCCCTTATTTGTGCTCAAAATCTTGACCAATGATTCTGATTCTGTAAGACTCCTTTGCAGTTAACAGAAAATTATGTCATTATGTATGACTTATCTAATGACTTATAATTACCCTATCCCCAATACAGATAGGGGTGAACAGATAATGGATGGATAGATATGAAGCCAAACTGGTGTGAAAACAACATATAGGTCCTATCAGACTAGTATCCACTATAAAAGCTTTCTGTGTATGAAATATGTAATAAAGTAAGTGAGTTATAAATATTTTCATTACGTAGTAAAACATTAATGAATGTCATAAAGTCGTTTCTAAACTGATAAAACAGAATCAATCTGATATTTTTGACTCATAATAAAAATATTTCAATATAGAAGTTTATCCATGTTACACTGTGGGTGTCTGTATTAAGCAAAATGCCATAGTAATCACAGTGACAAGACAGCTGACCTTTTAATAACTTGGCTTCACTGAGCCGCAGTACTGCACTCTGTATGACATTTAAACAATGCATACTTCATGCTCCTCCATACTACTCAGAGGTTACAATTACAGTTAGAATCAAACACAAATGTTACTGAATTCAATAAATGTATAAGCTTCTCATCTATACATTGTGAATGTACTGGAGTGACTGTCACTTTTAGAAACAGAAGCAACTTTTGCCTGTTGTCTGATCTTACAAAATCTTTACATTGATACAGTAATTTTAATTTTCTTAATTCCTCAAATTTTAGTTTTAGTATATTTTATCATATTAAATTAATTTTAGTGATTTAATTCAACAAAAATTGCAATCCACTTGGAAGAACCACCAAAATTAATCAAATAAATACAATAAAGCAGTTGAAAGATATTTTTAAAATGTTTTTACTAAAGCCAAATGTGCATAAAATATATCTTTTGCAGGACAGAAAATCCTAGAAATAATAAAGCTGAAATAAAATTAAGTTTCTTGCATTTGTATTGCCTAGATTCAGCAGTTGTCTTCTTTAGTGGAGCAGATGAAATGTTTTTATGTTTGTAGTATAGCACAGAAATGAGATATCACAGGAATAGCTCTCTCTATATATATGTATATCTTCTAAAACTGATTCCTCTTACTGACAGAGGAATCAGTTAAACTTTTCTTTTGATTGTGGGCTGACTGTTTTCAAAATCTGGGTACTGTTCAGAACATGTTTCTGCAGTAATAATACATACAGTTCTGCAGCACAGATGTCTTTATACTCTAACCTCCCCTGAATATGTCAGTTTATGTTTCATTACAAAATTATAAATTTTCTCAATGGGGGGGTAGGAGGGAAGAAAGTTTATAAGTTTTAACCTGCTGTTCCTTCATGTGAAACTGGAAAAAATACACAAGAGAAACAAATCAAAAATGACATGGCACAGCTTACAAAGAAATAATCAGAAAATCCCTCAAAACCACTGCTTTGACAAATATAATTTGACACATAATGTAGAATTTAAACAGTTTAGATGTTATCTTTCTAATTTTTCTTTTCTTTCACTCAAGTTAGTCCTTTTTTGTGGTGCAATAGGAGGCCCGGGAGGAATGTTTGTTCCTATAAACCAGAACAGCCATGCCAAGCTGTAAACTATTCTATTTTAGGTCTCATTCATTCTTAGGTTTGTGTTTACAATTTTCTGTTGGTTTTAATCTTGTCTATTTTTATTTGTATCTTTTACCCTTTTCCTTCAAGAGGTCCTCCCATTTGCAAGGCAAATTTAGCTGTATACATATTTTTTTTTCTAATTCTGCCCTGCCTGATTAAAGTCTAATTTTAAGAAAATTAAATAAAAACTTAAATTCTTAGTAGAAAAGACCAGAAAACAGTTTTCTAAAACCGGCTTTTGACACAGATTCACAAATGCTAATGCACATAACTAATATGTTATCTTATAACAAAGCTTGTATTGTAATGCTAATGAATTACTTTTGATTGCAGAGACAACAAAGCAATTTTTCTAATAATAATAGTTTAATATAGTTCACTATTTGGGCCAACAATGCAATTTTTCATCATGACAACAAATATTTTTAGAATCACAATAAAAAGGATCCTTGTTTGTCAGAGATTTTAACAGCTGTTCAGAAGATTCAGCCTAAAATGTAACACCAAGGAACATCAGCAATCAGAGCTGAGCTTAAGTTTATGAGGGAGAAGCAGAACAATTACACTGAAGTTAACAAACAGGGACTGATATTTGCACCATTATTATCCAATGCCCATAAGCAAACACAGTTTCTTTTTGCAATATTGCATTTTGTTTTGTGCTGATAAACAAAAGATTGGTTTTCTCATATCACCACGGAAAAGTACTTTGAAATTTACACATTACTTTGAGGAAACATGTTGAACCTTTTAACATTTTCTCAACCACGATGTTTTGTATTTTATTGCCATCTAATGCAAAAGACACAATACAAAATCGTCCCTAACTAACAAGTGGAACAATTGTTTTTCATGTTGTCAAAGTCTCAAAGTCAAAAGTCCAAAAAATGTTGTGTGCATTTGCATTCAGCCTTCCCGTGTCAATACTTTTAAGAACCACCTTTGGCTGATATTGCATGGGTATGTGTTTTGGGATAAGTATCTACCAGCTCTGCACATCTAGATTTTTAACAGTTTTTCAATGTTTTTATTGCAAAATACTGTAATTTCAGCAAGATTGGATGTTTTCTTCTATCTCTATCTTTAGTTCTAGTTGAAAGTTTTGGGTAAATGTCCTTATCACTTTTAAAAGAAACAACTCCACAGTGTTTTCGCATAATAATCAGATTCATATTTCAGCAGCAGCTTGAAAATAGTGTCATACTGCTTGCCAAACCCTTGCATGTCAT